ACTTGAGAAGTTGTAGCTATGCATGTATGTGAGGTGTGTGAGGACCTGAGCGAATACGTACATGTGTATATCCATCTATATGCTTATAGTTCTAAGTTGCTTGGGGACAAACAACGATTTAAGTTTGGGGAGATTTGATAGGTCGAAAATTGTGTATGTTTTATATATTTAATAGTGTAATTTTGTACACTAAATTTATTCGCACGTTTATATTTTTCGACTTATTTATTATTTGAATGGATTCATACACTTTGATATTTTTATATTTATTTTCAGGTTATTAGAATATTTTGTGGATCCGGAGTACAAGTGTTCGTGAGAGATTAGGCCTACAATACTGGATTATTTATGGCTAAAACACATGCTTAGAACTTAGAAGAAGTTTAAGAAATAAAGCCCAATTAATGAAATTCACAATGGACATTTGAGATGGCAGAGGTAATTGACAGTCAGCATGCATACAGTTGGGATTTTGAGGACTCTCCGTTGACCCATTAATTGTGGTAAAAGGACACACGGCACATACATATATTGGGAGGAGTTTTATTTTCAAGAGGAGATTTTTAAGAAAAAACGAAGCACGCACAACAGAAGGAAAAAGGGACGGCCAGAGAGCGGACGAGAAAAGCGCACCACACACGGACTGTGAAGGAGATTACACACGCGGAGGGAAGCCGCACCCGCACACGAGGGAGATATTTATCTTCTCTCTTTTATCTTTTTATTTATTTTTCTTAGTATGTTAGGCTAGATTTTTATCCAGTTTTAGGGGATGTTTGAACCTTAACTTGAATTTGTCTATGAATTTAAGTATTTGAATTTATCGTTGATTAATCCAGATGTCGTATTTATTTTTGTTGATGAGTTGATTCGCGTTATCTGTGTTTAATGTTTATGAATTATGGTGTTTGATTTAGTCTGGCCAACTACGTTAAATATTCATAGTTCAACTGCTAGATTCGAGACTTTAATCCGTAATTGTTATTGCCTTGTTTCGTTAGTAGTAAACTAGGGGTCGTGCATCCTTAGGGTAGCGTGAACATAAGTTCAATGGTCCGAGCTTACGCGTCCATTGCTTAGACTGATCTATTTTCCTAGTGATTAATGCTGCTAGTGAATTAAACCTAGAGAGCTTATTCTAGGTTGTCTACTAGTTAGGCTTGGTCGAAGAGCTTATTTCGACGCAATATTTTGTAAGGGAAAATTCGGTTAACAAAGCTTGTTGTTAGCTAGGGTTGGTAATTCGTAAACAATTTAAAGAAAGCGTCGAAACTAATTAACGGTAGATTGAGATTTGGGTGATAACTGAACCGAAAACTGGACTTCTCTTATTTTATTTAATTTTTATTTTATTTTATTTTGTTATTTTTATTTTTATTAAAATCAATCCCCCCATCTTTACTGCTTTCGTAGTTTAGTTCAATTAATACGAAATTATCACAATTTAGTTCCTGCTCCTCGTGGGATCGACCCTTACTCGCCGCTACTACTAGTTAGTAGAGGTTAGCTGAGGAAAACTATTATAAATTTAAATTTGCCGCGTCGCGACGCGCGGTCACTAGTGGAATAGAGTGTAGAGATAGTTAGATTACAATCAAGTTATAGTCGAGTAAATATGTACTACACTACGGATGTGTTTGGTAAAATTAGCTGATAAGCTAACTTATAGTTTCTCAATAATTTTCTAGCTTATACCTTATAACTTATGACTTATAGATGAAAATCTAGCTTATATGATAAAAGTGTTTGATAAAATTAGCTGATAATCTAGTTGAAATAAAAAAATTCAACCGGCTTATTAGAAAAGCTACCCAAAGAAGCTTTTGAGATAAGCTCGAGCTTTTTAAAAAAGTTCGTCCTACCAAACGAACCTTATTTAAATATATGAAGCTTATAAACTAACCAAATGAGCTAGTTTTATCTACCAAACATAGCCTACGTGTAAGCAACCAT